GCTTTATCCGTGTCGGGAGAAGACCTCATCCATATCCGATGATGATGGTCTATCACTTCTCAAAAACTGTTATATACTCACTAAGCCATTAATGTTAATTTTTATTAAGTCGCGCCCTGTTGAGCTATTTCTACAGGACTAGAAGAAAATTCATCTAACTCCAATTTTTAAAGGGGGAAATAGAAACCACGCCACAAACTATAGACCCATTATGAAATTGACAACAATTTCGAAATTATTTGAGATCGTTGTTAAGTCAAAGCTGAATTTCGCAATTTCTAGGCTTATAAGCCCGAATCAACGCGGCTCTACGGGGATGGTCTCGGTATCTAATCTTGCGATTTTCCCAGAGGACTGTCTCGATAGCTTTAAGACTGGCTATCAGGTAGAACTTTTTTTTACTGAAGCTTAGATCATATTAGATGTTGAGATAGGTTTCCTTTATTTCACTAAGAACGCAAAAATTGCGTATGTGCCGGTATCCGGTAGATATCCGGAATCCGGCCTTTTTCTGTTATCCGACTATCCGACCTTTTTCTGTTCTCCGACTATCCGGCCGGAGTTTCGGATTTCGATTATAAAAAATTATATTTAAAAATCTAGTTCACATTTTTTTTTAAATTTCTATAACAAAATTTCATAGTATCTAATTAATAATTAAGAATTAAAAATTTATATATTTTTCATTGCAAAAACACGCATTTATGCATTACCGGTCAATAACCCATTTTGGTTTTCAACATAAATGCGCCCCGACTCTTTTTGAGGTCGCTGGAGAAGGTGGTTCGCAGAGACACTTCATTGCCAGTGTAAACAAATTTGGAAATTTTTAGCGACTACAAAAATAATAGTAGGCGATTAGACATATGTTTGTGGGTGTTGGCCGCGCTTTTCCTCCGATTTGTGGCTTGAGCATTAATGTTGTCCAACAAGACAAGTGACCTAAAGTTTTACGCTGAGTCCGAAGTGCGATTTTATTTTTATGAGAAGCTCGGGGGTTGGCCATTGCCTGCCGGGGGGGCCGCTATTAAAAAAAAAAAACTTTTTTTTATGTTGGGTTGAACCGTGCTTTAACCCAGGCCCTGCGGAATGTTAGCACGCACTGCTAAAGCAGCGGCCGTCTTCTTGCCTGGGTATAGGGTATAGCTGTAAATATTTCTCCATTTCTCCATCGTATGGGTATTCACATCACTACAAATTGGAATCAGTATCAGAGCCATTGGCCATTTCCCCAAAACATTGCTAGATATCCTGGTCTCGCTCTTTGATAGAGTTTTCACTAGAATTCGGCCTTTTTCATATGAGTCAGCCGGTTTCTCCATGCTAACTGATTATATTGTCTTTGGCGTTTTTCCTCTACCTACCAAAAATAATCGATAAATTCGGGTTGCAGACGGATAAATTATCTTTTTAATACAGGATTTTATCATAACTTGAATTTCTAAGGAGAAATTTTGAATTCTTAATCACGTATTGGAAAGTTCAGTTCGAAACAGCAGATAATCCAGCTAAACAAAAAGACCTAATATAACAATATGTATTGTGAAATTTATTAAGAGCAGCAGTCTAGCGGATATCCGATCGAATATCCGAATCCGGCTCTTATTTTCTACAGGTTATCCGGAATCCGGTTATCTGGCTAAATCGCTATCCGGCACATTCCTAGCAAAAATGCACTTAAAGTTGTAGTTATACCTAAATATAAAAATATTTCAAAAATGCACTCTTAACTCCAAGATGACATTGCAAATTTATGCTTATTCGCAAAAATTCAATATGCTCAAATTTTTTTCGATACCAATATAAATATAAGTATTTACTTGCATACACATATGTATGTACATACATATGTATATATGAATGTATGTTAGCTAGGCCAATCAATCGACAGTAGACTTAATATGCCACCTTGTACCAACTAAAAAGCAATAAAGCGATTTAGTCTGAGAAAAAGACACGCAAACAAATGACAAATTGACAATCATCGCCTTGAGACGCGTTGAAATAACCATTTCATATGAAATATTTACATGTGAAATGGGGAAGAAAATATGAAAGTTTCCAAATAAAAAAGTGTAATCAAGCATAATGAGCAGTTAAGCAAAGAGCACACGCAATAAATTTTATTAGCATAGAGAGAATATTGGATGCCGGTAAGCAGAAGACGACACATTGGAAGAGCATATGTGTGTATGCATGTACATTAGGGTGGTCTAAAAATTGTATGTGGGGAAAAAGGTAAGTCCGAATTTGAATACTCTAACCCCCTAGAATGGTTCTACTTGTATATCGAAAAACATAATACCCCTGTTCTTTATTTAACCATTTTTTAATATATTTTTTTATAGGTCCCCCGAAACCCCCAAAAAATGCAATGGTGCAACCTATAAAAATCGCTGGTTTTAAGAAATGGTAAAATAAACAACTCGGTATTATTATTAGAAGTCTCTATAGTCTTTCCATAGAAAAATGTTGATGTCCAGTAATTATATACCAGAAGTGTTCTTCCCATGGAAAACTTAAGGCAATTTGAGCGGCCATTAAATATTTTTCGGTTTCGAAATAAAAAAAACAGGGGTAGATATATTTTTTCTATATAGAACAATGCTAGGGGGTGAGAGCAATAAAATTCGGAGTACTTTTGACATGCGTTATGTGAACCACCCTAATGTGCGCTCATCGGTAATGGACAATGAAATTTTCAAATTGTAGTTAGTTTTAGGGAAAACTGATACCTAAAAGAGGAGGAAAGAAACTAAGAAACTAGCATGCAAATTTTGTTTCCACATCTTGGCAAATCTGTTTAACAGTATGAATATGCTAATAGGTTAAGCACTGCACAAACTGGAAGGAGCTTTCGAAGCCAAACAAAGAATCGTGTATTATCTGCTTTAGCTGCACCAAAAATTTAAACCTTTCCAGCCTTTACTCAAACCTTAATACACGAGCTAAACAAATTAGTGCAACGAGGATAACGAGGGAAAGTCAAATTACCGCCTAGCGAAAAACCAGGGTCGCATGATTTAAAAACCTTTCTGATTTTAAATCCACTTTTAATTCAAAAATGTATTTGTAAGTGTGATTCGATTCATCGACCAAATAAAAAAAGTTATTTGATTAATCAATTTTATTTGTGATTTGATTTGCATTGGAGGAATCACTAGTTCGAGTGCAATTGATAAAACAAATGGACGCAAAGTTCGTGGCCCTTGGTATTATACTAGCTAGGCCAGATGGATGCATCTGCACTTGGTTGGTATAAATGCACGAAGGAAAAAAATCCTGGAATTTTTTTTTTTTTTGATAAATTGTAAATGTACCCAAAATGGTGCATGTATATCGTCACCTGAAATGGAAAAAGTAGTGACTGATATTTTAATGTTTTTTTTCCATAAAATTATGTGGGGAGTTGTAATTCAATGAAATCCATCATATAAATCCAAAAGTGAGTTTCGATTTTTTTTTTAGTTATTACTTTTTTGCATTTCAGCGATGATGTTTGTTACGTCTTTTTGCATTTCAGGTGATAATATATACCGATGTACTTTCAAACTAAAAATGGGCTGAAAAGAGTACAATTGTACCTACATTTCCATCACTGATGTGGATTTATACATATGTGTCATGAAATCAGGCCAATGACAAATAAATAATCTGGGTGCTAAGCGAGGGAAAAGCGTGAATCCAAATTATGTTGTTAATCAAAACTAATATGCATATTTGCATGTTTTAACCTAATTTTGTTTTCTCTGTTTATGTTACATACATATGTACATATTTATATGTAAATGTAATTTAACAATTGCAAACACAAATAAGGGTGAATATGTATGTTTATATGAATATTTTTCACCTTAGGGTGAACCTTTCCTTTCGAAGTTGGAACCAACTAAAACTTCAATCTAAGCTGATATCCAAATGGAGGAATATTTTAAAAAGAGGCATTGATTCAGTCATCATTCATATATTATGCGCCAATTGTGCAACTAATTTTTATGGTATATAGATTGTGTTATACACACCTGTTAACCCTTATATGCTATATAACCACATACGTGAATATGGTGGCGGACGGTGTTGTAGTGGTGTATGTAATGTCAGTTCATCAAATATAAGTTAATGGTATGAATCGTCGGCCGCTGTGGTGTAGTGGTAAGCAGTGCGCGCTTCCACTCCACAACGCCTGGGTTCAAACTTTGGTCAAAGCAACATCGCAAAAATATAGAAAAAAGGTTTTTTCTTAACAGCGGTCGTCCCTCGGCAGGCAATGGCAAACCTCCGAGTGTATTTCTGCCATGAAAAACAGCTTCTCATAAAAATACAATCGCCGTTCGGAGTCGGCGTAAAACTGTAGGTCCCTCCGCTTTGTGTGACAACATCAAGGCGCACGCCACAAATCGGAGGAGAAGCTCGGCCAAACACTAACATATGTGTACGCGCCAATCTATTATTTATATTATTAGTATGAATCAATATTTCAACGAATGTGTGAATATTTCTTTGACACGTTTATCTTTTCGCTTCCTCTCAGTATCTATTTTGCTATTTTCCTAGCAAATCCAAATTTAACTTCTTATAAATAATTGACATTCACTAATGGCTGTCTAAGTATGCTGCTAAAATTTCACATTCGTTGAAATTCATTTCATCCTTACCTGAAAACAAACACTTTAACCGCAGACATGCGGTGATAAATAGTAAATTTCCAATGAATACTTAAAAATTAATTCTTAACTGCGCAACCAGAACCGAATAACCGAGTTCAAAAGATTGACAGAGTTAGTCTAGGCAGAAATTAAAGTCAAGGCATGAAAAAGTATTGTATGTATTTTATATACAAACGAAGATATTCATCATACATACATACATACATATATTTTAAATATTTTAAACATACATATGTATGACTATGTTTTTTTACTCGCAAAACCTTTAAAGGAGAAAAAATTAGTTTGCCCTCTTACATTTATGTACGAGTATGTACATACATTCACACTCACCTTTACTCGCCGGCGGTTTTCGTGTGGCCCAATTCGTTCGAATCGAACGCGAGCCAAGCCATTGTCCATTCATAGCTGCAATGGCGCTTTCGGCTTCCTATTGAGTAACGAAAATGAGAGAAGAGTAAATAAAATTGCTTCCCAATTGAATTAATTATAAAATTTCTGGATGCTATGAAAACTATGATAAAAGAGTAAAAATTCGGGAATGAGGATTTGTGGGACTTGCTTTTTAATTAAGATGAAAGAGTGGACAAAAGTTTTCTCTTAAATTAATATCTAATGAAATGAAGTCAACAAAAATTTTAAGCAAATACAACACGAAAGTACTTACCGATTTTTTGACAAATGACACAAATCCATAACCCTTGGATTTCAATGTTTGTGGATCGCGTACAACGCGGCAATCACTGTAAGGAGAGAAACAAAAAGAAGAGGAGAATATAAATATTACATTGAGAACTTTTGTGGTTGACATGACAACTGAAAAGAAATGATTGTGTGAGAGGGTGGATTTATAATTAAAATAAATTAGTACTTAACAGGGACGCATTTCGGCGAACTTATTTATACAACTATGTACATCGAAACGTATGTACATACTCGTATATACAGATGTGGGTATATATGTGGGTACATACCTAAGCGTATACCAACTAAAACTGGTACCAATTCGTTGAATTAGCGTTGTGTTAATCCTGCTGGGAGTTTAGCGGACAAAACTTTTTAATAAAGTAAAATATTAAAGCGTCCAAAATGATGCAAGCCAGCCATTAAGTGTAGACCACATCCCGTTTACCTACTGCACCCGTGAGTGTGTCAGAAAATATTTGCTCTATTTTTTGTTTACACAAATATAAATTTATGTATCTGTGCGTGTGTACGTGCAAGCCAGTACTCACTTAGGTACGAGTATGAACATTCGTTTGCTACTTGGCGAGCAAAAAGGAAAAATAAGTTTTACAAAATAACAAACATTCATTTGTAATGAACGCAGAAGCAAAGCGATACAATGAGCAATAGCCGAGTTGCTAACCCAACCTCCGTCGCCAAAGAGGATTTTAACATTTATGCAAATTTTAATAAAAGTTAATTTATAATATTTTTGTGCTAGAATTTTTAAAATAGTAGTATATATAGGTGTAACGAGAGTGAATGTGGCCCTGGAGTGCTTACCGGCTGTAGCATACTTATGTATGTGTATACGCGCAGTGCGAAAGGCGGGAGTTGAAAGCATTTGGCGCTTACTTTGTGGCCTTCACTCTCTCCTCACAAGGAAGGTTTTCGATAACACAACAAAACATCTCACCCACATGCATCAGATACGGGTATTTTTTCAATCCCATTAGCGATAAGAGACTGATACAAAGCTGAAGGGGATGATGCATAAAACTCCTCAAATAAAGTTGTCAAGGTTCATATCGTTGTTTAAAGTACAAACCGCGTATGAAGATAATGCAAAACCGCGTATGTGAGGTTGCAGTAATTGCTTTTTAGAGAGTAAAAACGCTCACATTTTTGAAAACCGTTGTTTATTTTATAAAGCAATCGCATTTCTGGCTAGTATATTTCAGGACCAATGGGTAAGGCTTGAGCCAAGAGCTTCGGTGAGAAAATCCAATTTTTGGCAAAAATGTCAGTTACGCGGTTTTGCAGAACGACGGTACGCGGTTTTATACTTTAAACGGCGAGATATTTAAATGTTTTCCGTAGAAGTGAAGAAGAAGGCGGAGATAAACCGAAGTGAGATAAATAATTCTGTTTTAATTTCTTTTACGTTGATTAAATAACTTTTTACTTTCTTTTAGCTAATTTGCTATTTTTTTCTTAAAACGATTCAAAGTACAACGTGGCATTAAACAACCATTATTTGGCAGGTAGCATGTATGAAGGACGTTCGAAGTATACTAAAACCTCGCTAGATAAAAGTATATTACACGGCTCAACAAAATTTGGTCGTATTTTATCTCAAAAACAGGGCCGTCTTCATCTTACAGATTTTTTAATGCTGATTTGGAGTGCATTTATAAAATTTTTCTATCTCGTCCAGTTTTTGAAAAAAACTTCCTAAGTGTGAAGTGAAAAAACTTAAATATATAACTTGGACATACTTTTTCTGAAAAAAAATTACGATTTATGAAAATCCAATTCCTCTGCTGGATTCTACCTCATGTCAATAGATTGAGTAGGAAAGAAAGGGGTGAAACATTAAAAAAAAATTTTACTTCAAATCAGCATCAAAAAGTCTATGAGATGAGATCCGCCCCCGTTTTTTGAGATAAAATGCGACCCAATTTTGTTAAACTGTGTTTTTAGGGACGGTAAATTTGTTAAAAAACGCCTCAAAACTTTCGAAGGAAAAATTGCTTTTTTGGTAGAAATTTGAAAAGATTTACAGTTGGTAGTAATTGCTAGGGCCAAATAAGAGAGTACCTGATTAAGCCAATATGTAATTTGGAAGTAATTGCCAGAAGTTAATGGAAACGAGTGATTTATGCATTTCTTTATTAGTGGATATATTTTTAATTACATTATTCTTGTTGATTTGCGCTATAAAAGCCAAAGCGATTTTATTCTAGTCCAAAAAGCATGCCAGTCATTTCTGGCTGACATTTGATTGGCTAATCTTTGTTTAAACCAGTCAACTCGAGCTCGTACACACAAAGCCCGGAGATATTAAAAATTTAAATATTTTTTATGTAACTTTTTTTGCTCACATCTATGATCTACATATTTATGTATATAGTCAAAAATCTCTTCGTTTTAATATTACCGCTAAAGAAGAGTTTAAATATTTAGAAACACACAAAGCACCAAAAGAAATATTTTTGTATTGCTAAAATATCTGAAAAAATTTCTTATTAAAATTTGTATTTTTATTTAAAAGGTAAAATTTTAGGGCCTATTGCAAACCACGAACTGCAAACTGAGTTTATTTTTATATATATATTAATAGAGAATTTTATCTATTTTCGTTTGGTGCTAAACTGTACTTGGAATTTGATTTTTAAATTAATCTCCAAAAATTACATAAAATACCCCAGTGTGCCGATTAGCAATTAAAATATACACATAAATGTAGTGTAAGACATATATTGGTGCCCTCAAAAAAGCGGTTTCAAAATTTTATTGCGACGTATATATATGTGTAGTTATCCATCACTCCCGCTCTTTATAAGAACATTAGGAATCTCTCAACCCCAGCGTCTTCTGTCGGGTAATTTCATAGTCAAAATATTCCCTTTCAATTGGCTAACAAATGTTATAAATATAAGCCAAATCGACAAGTAAAGCCCACTTTTAGGAATATCCTGACCCCAGCGCCGCCTAGCGAGCAAATTTTTGGTAGAAATATTTCTTTTCAAGGTACTGATACATGTTCCGAATATGAACAAATCGGTTAGTGCTTTAGTGACATTCAATACACAGAAAACTCTATGAAATTGTGAAATAGTGACGTCTCAGCTTTCTTCATTTTTTGGCAACAACAACAAAAAGTTTAGATTTTTTTTCGAAAACCCTTCCACATTGAAGGTCCAAAAAAGTACTTTTGGCAGAATTGGAATCGGTGTAGCCGTTTGGTCAGGCATACGGAAAATATTTCATTTTTATATATTTGGTTATAGATATGTATATGACCTTATTAATAAGAAGTAAAATAGATTTACGGAGCTCTATAAAGTGAAATTTTTTTTTTAAATTTTCGATTTATAAATCAGTTAAAGTCTTCTGTATTTTTTATGAATTTAGGCGATTGGTTGTTACTTTTCCAAATAGTTTTTCATTGAAAATGGCCTCAAGCTCAATAAAATTGTTGAATGTAATTCACACATGTAAATATTTACATTCAAAATTTAGTTAAATAAATGATGATAAACATTAAAAAGCAACAATCTCTCCTAAATTACTGCTACTCCCGACTCCTGCATTTAGCTTGCAGTTATGAATGTAAAAATTTTTATTTTTTGTAATATTTCTTACTTCAGCACAACCTTTTAAATCTTTCTAAACTCTCAGCAAATACACACACATGTATAAGTCTACTTATGTAGGTGGCTTCAATTTCCATCCATCCTTTAGGCAAACACTTCACATGGTGTCACTTTCTCGTCTTACTGTTAGCCCGTCAAGTCAACAACTAAGCATACCAGTTAAGCTCCGAAATGGTAGCGGATTTTTAGGCGCTCACTTATGTAGTTGCCATTCACATATGGATATACTTACATTCCATGTGAGTGTGTTTGTTTCATTTGCCTTCTGCCGGCTGTCAGCCACACTACTTACTATTCTTCCAGGCACAGCGCAAGGTGTCGCCTATGTTAACCACTTTGTTTGCTTTTTTAGCTATTGTCGTTGTTGTCGCTAAAGAAGTTCGCTGTCTGTCTGCTGTTGACAGGCAAATCCGCGTTAAATATTCGACAAATAAGCGTAAGTCAAGCGATTTCCAGGCCAGAGTAGTGGAAAAAGCCGGATTTCGTGGATAAATATTTATATTTATTGTAGGTATTATGAAAATAGATCTGCATTCATACATACTTATGTACATAAATAGAGAAGTAATAGTTGGTGGGTGTTGAACTCAATTTATGCATTAGGATTACCTGGTATTTTGGTGAGGCGCATAAATGTACATATTTGTTGACTGTTAAGGACAATAAACGTTTGTATGAATGAAAGAGGGGACAAAATAAACAATTCAGAAGAGGCCTTCAGGAATTTCCCATATATGTAATATTTAGCGTCCCAGGTATTTTAAAGTACGATTTGGGTTTGTTGAAGAAATTAGCATTTTGGCGACATTTTTTGGAAGAAATTATAAGGAATCGGCGTAGAATCTCAATTTTTCGTATGTAACATTTATTTTATACGGGACTCCAAATGTTCGGTATTTCTTTTAATGTACTGTATTTGCTCCGTATTCGATATTCAGTACTTTTACGCCTTTAATAGCGCATAGAAATCAAATTCTCAAAGTTTGGAAGAGAAGTGGATGATTTCAAAGGTCCGTTTTCTCGTCCAGTTCGTTTCAAATGATGTTCACTGCATTGTACATGGCCGAAATCCAAGTAAGAAAAAAGTTCGTTTAATAGCACTCGTGTTTCTACACATCGCCTTCACTACCTAGGGTCATTTCTAAAAATTCGGGGTATAAATCTCGAGCGCAAAGCACGAAGCTATCGAAAAATATCCAACAATTTATTATTTTAATACTTAATATTAATGTATGAGTACTAATAATAAGGATGCTGTTTCAGACTAATGTCACCGTATGTATGACTCCAAAATTTTGTCCATGTATATTTAATAGCATTATATGTGAAAGCTAAAAAATTGGGCGTAATCGGTATATTTCAAAGCATCCACTCTTACAAACATAACCTCAAAAACGACTTAAAAAGGCCGTTAAAATCGGAAACATGAACCTATTATTACGAAATTTTACCACGAGTTCCATCATCACAATGTGAATAATGATAATAGAATGGCGCTTACACATATGCTAGTGTTTGGCCGAGATTCTCCCAAGATTTGTGGCGTGCGCCTTGATGTTGTCACACAAATCGAAGGGACCTACAGTTTTACGCCGACTCCGAACGGCGATTGTATTTTTATGAGAAGCTGTTTTTCATGGCAAGAAAACACTCGGAGGTTTGCCATTGCTTGCCGAGGGACGACCGCTGTTAAGAAAAAACATTTTTTCTATATTTTTTTTGCGATGTGATGTTGCTTTGACCAGGGCTTGAACCCAGGTGCTGTGGAGTGGAAGCGCGCACTGCTTACCACGACACCACAGCGGACGACCATCCCAATTTGAGGTTACGTTAAATGTCGCCAATTTGAGCAAATTTTTTTTTTCAGAAATCGGTAGAAAATATTTCGGTTTTTAATTTTTTTTATCGTAAGAAGACAAAGGAAACACAGTTTTATCCATCAAAGGTGTCAAAGATAGCGTAATTTTTGTTTGTTTATTAAAATACTCGATTATCCTGATTTTTGTTTTCTATTTTGTCTAGTAAGTGCTATGTTTTCATATGAACCTACGGTAAGAAAATACAAATAAAGTTTATAAGAAAAACAGATTGCTTAAGTGAACAAAAATCGAAATTAGTTTAAGGGCCAAATTCACAGTGTAGTTAACTCAGAATCAGCAGTGAACTACAGACTTTTGTACTGAAATTGCACACGGAAATGGTGCAACGGAAATGGTTGGGGCTCAAACAAGTGCTTCTTGTGTGTATGTATATGGTATTAATTTAACAAAAATTTGCTAATAAAAGGTTAAAGCATAACATTTAGAAAAAGACCAATACAAGAATGAAAGCAAAAGTGAGTACGTACATAGATAAAGAAAAGGATAAAGGCAAAAGTAAAAATAAAAACAAAAACAAATATGCGTAAAGATAAAGGCAAAAATGGAGACCAAGGTAAATTTAAACACTTTACCTATATATATAAGGGCAAAGGTGAAGGGGAATATGTAGATGAAGAAAATGATAAATATAAAAAGTAAAGATGAAGATAGGGAAAGAAAGATTAAAATAAAGGTATCGGAAGAGGAAAGGATATAGAGAGAGACACAGAGACTCAATCCGGGAACTATTTTGGGATTTTAGAGATTTTCAGGATTTTCGGCACTTATCGATATTTTTATCGGATTTTTTATACATATTTTTATCGATTTTGTTATACAAATTTTTACTACTGCAACAACAGCTCACAAGCTCTTCAAAAACCACTCCATACTATGTGCTTTTATTATCGATTTTACTTGGCTTTCAAGTATTTTTTGTACAGTAAATTACCACAAATTGCGTTACACTGGAATTTTATAAAATGGCTAATTTTTAAATTAAATTCTAAAAATAAGTTTGAAACGTTTTCGATTTCTAAATTTATGTAAACGACAGTCCAAAACTTCATAAAGTTTAACTTGTTTTCAAAAATATTAATAAGATTTTTAGTAGCACGCTTCCAATGTTACAATAAATTAAATTTCATAGCCAAAACGCACTTTTTTTAGTTTGTCATAGCCTTGGACAGGCCTCCCTGAAGCCGTGGAACAGGCAAATTACAAATTCCTATTGATAGAATAGGTGGAAGGCTCCCTTAAATATCTGACCAGTCCCATACTTAAATGATTTTTTTTATGATAGCAAATATGTGTAGCTGGTGTTTTTAGCTCTGTTTAAAAATAAAATATTTCAATACTTACGAAATTTCACCAAATGGTGTAAAAGCTTCACGCAATTGTTGGGTTTCGATTTCTGAGCTTAAGTCGCCGACGAAGATGTGAAATTGTTCTGAAATAAGAAAAATAAATTTTAACATTTAAATACAAGAAAAAACAGAACTCTTAAAATGTAACTTGAAATAGCTTACAAATATTATTATTTCAACTTTAAAACTTCAACACGAACCATACATTTGTATGTAATGGTGCACCACCATTAAACACATAACATATATGTATGTATATGTGTACATATTATGTAGATATAGCAGTAACCCACAAAAAGAGAAAGTTTTAGAATAAATTTTATACAAATACACAGCAATTTGCATAATATAATCTTCAGCTTTAAATTGAGACTAAAAAATGATAGAAAGTCAAGAAGGAGACGAAATAAGTGATTGCGTACATTGAAGGGTGTAAATAGTTTCTACAGCTGTGTCGTATATAAACGCTAACACATTGCCATGTCTAGCCATATATTTACTACTACATACATAGCTACATATTTATGTGTATAGTATAAATATACTATTGAAACATTGATAACTCATAACTAATATTTGTTTTTCGAAACTTATTTATATATATCAAAATATTTAAAATTTTATTAGCAATTTTGTTATGTATATAACTCCAATTTCGGAATATGGTCAGTTATGAGTTGCCAATGTTTGACCATCGGTATGCATTTACTGCCGTACATATAAAAGTTGAGATATTTTATTGAATTAATGTAAATGGTCCTAAAATGGCAGCCAATAATTTTTATTAGTCCTTTTTTATTCAGCGCTTTCACAACCGGCATTCTTATTCTTGGCATTTATTCTTGATTTCAGAATCACTTTTGTAACGAGTTTGTGCCAACAAAAAAAGAACCCATGAAGCATTTGGTGCAATAAAAGGAAACGAAATGGAAAATATAAAAACTACCAAGAGGAATAAAGGTTGACCAGACATAAGTACAAATGGTGAGTGTAGGGTGAATAAATGAATGAAAATAAAAACGGGTTAAGTGTAGCGAATATTTTACTTTTACTTTACAACTGGCCAAGGGGAGGACAAAATTTCCAATAAACATTACTCTGAACTACTTTCAATCTCATTTCTTAAATTTGCATAATAAAAAGTATATATTGTAGCATTTTTTTAAATTTGCAGACATTGCACAGTGTAGTGAATTGTGTAGTTTACACTGGCTGTACAAATTAAATTTGTTGAAAATAAAAATATAACTAAAGTTTAAAGGAGTAAATCTAAAAATCATGTCAAACCATGTTTTTTTTATTCCATAAGTCAAAAATGTGGTATCTTTTGTTTTGTTGAAAAATAAAATAAAAATGTGCCACTCTTTTGCCCTTTGCGAAATAATGAGGGTTTAGCAGATGCATAAAATCATTTTTTAATTTTTTGTTAATGTCATCAGATCTGCACCATTCGTTTGATTTTCAAAGGCGCATTAGAGGCATTGTCCTTTAGATGTGTAATAAAGGTCTAACATTTGAAAAGAGTTGCCACCTGTTGAAAAATTTTATTCAAATTATTTAATATATTAAGTGAATTATTAGAAGATGGATATCAATAGAAAGGCGTTTGAAAGGGTTGATTTCTTGATTTCATGTAGAAGGATTGCCACCTGTTTAAAAAATGAAATTCCATTTAAATTTAGGGAACTAGGTGACTGAAATATATACCAGCATATAAATGGGAGTGAATTTAATTAAATTATACAATATTTTTATTTATGAAAAATTAACATATTTTTATGAAACGAATGGGTTACGATACGGAATTTTTTATTTTATTACAGTATGTAAATACATACATTGCCAACGAGTGATAAGCTTTCTTGCTCCTTTCATATTAATGGACCCTTAAATTAACTTTAAGGTTGCAGGAATTTGTTTATTCTTCACTTATTTTTTGCTTAATTTTTTTAATTTGTTCTTTGGTCTGACGCTCATGTTTTTATACATATTTCAGTTCCCAAAAGCCATTAATCAAATTGAATTAAATTGTCTAAAGAGGTGGCAACCGTTCATTCAATTTTTAAAAGTGAGGAATCAGTTTACAGGGTTTAGTCTGTAGATGTGCAGTAAAGTTTTATATTTTGAAAAGGGTTGCCAGCTGCTAAAAAGTTGAACTCAAATTATTTAGTAAGTTAAATGATTTTTATATTACAATATGGGTATCAAACGACATGGCATTGGAAATACTTTACATCTATAACGGTTGCCACCTCTTTAGACAATTTAATTCAATTTGATTAATGGCTTTGGGTAACTGAAATATGTATAATAACATGAGTGTCAGACCAAAGAACAAATTTAAAATATTAAGCAAACAATGAATGAAGAAACCTTTCAGGGGGGGAGATCTACTACTGATACTGATTCGCTAACTGGTTATAGAATCTGCCCCCCGACCTCCAAAAATGATATCGTCCGATTCCGCTGGAACAAAAATGCTTCAAACAAGTAGGAGTTTCTCTGCATTATAGCCTCGAACCGACATATATAAATCTTTCATTTGAGTCAGTATTAAAAGCTCTATTAGCTCCTACATTCGGGTTTTGATAGGTGAGTTTCCCCTGAGCCGTTTTTTCCATATCTTTGGCCTGTGTGCGTTTTTATTCGAAACCTAAATGTTTAGGTACCGAGTATCGAGAGTATTGGACACATTTTTAATCGGTACCGAATATCGATCAATACTTAAAAGTATTGACTCAGCACATCTCTACTGCTGTCATCTCGACTGTGACGTCAGCAAAACAGCTGATTCTGTCAAATTCACTGAGAGCAGATTAGCGGTGCTGCCGTCGGCGCCACCTTCTGTATTCTAGCGCTATATCAAATGTTGCTCATACGCAACGACCTACGTTTTTATTAATATCTATCCTTTGAACACAAATTTCCTTCTCAAAACATATCCTTAAATGGCAAATAAATTTTAAATATCACAAACTTATCCATTGGCGATAAAATATGCTTTTGCCGAAATGATGTTAAATGCTATGAAAATTTTCTCCTATTGCAAAACATTTAAACGGTTTACGATCAAACTTCTTAGCTAACAGCCTACAACATAAATAAAATATTCGTATTTTTGATGCCGGAAAATTAAGTAAATATGAGTTTTTAAATACATATCGAAACCTTACAGCGAAAAAAATATAAAAGGATTTATCTTCAAAATTTTCCTTTTGATGCAGAAATGCATCTAGATGCTTTGTTAATTTTTCTGGTTTAAAAAGAAAATTTTGAAACAAATTTCTCATACGTTACTTTAGTAGCTAGGGATCGGCGCAAACATTTCTATGTCAATTACTACTCTTTGTACTAAGATGTACTAAGATGGACTGTTTCCTACACTCTCATTAGCGCTCTCTTTAACATTATTCACAAAATTGTTTTCAGGGTCTTTACTCGTACAAATATTAACACATACAAACGATTTCGCGCTATATGATTCCGAACGAAACTTATTTCGCTGGCAGTGTTCCTTATGCCTTGCGAAGTGAAAGTAAAACGGAATTTAGTTGCGACAATTTTTCACGCGATTTCTTGAATCATAAACTGGCGGCCCCCAACTTCATTGGAAACGATAAGTTGAAATGATGTTCACACCAGGTGATTGTTGCTTTCAACTAAAAGTTGCCCGTAAAATCTCCTCTTGTAAACACCCTATAAAAAAATGTTGTTCACACGCAATGTTGCTCGTACGCAGCAAAGTTACTCATACGCGATGTTACTCAAACGCATCTTGTGAGTAACTGATCAATACAAAATTTGTAGAAGTATTATAATAAAGAAATTTTCAAACAATTTTTAACCATAAAGTATTACAGCCAGTTTCACCAAAGCAATTTAAGTGAAAAATTATTAAATTTTTTTTTTTGAATTTTATATGGAAATTGACAGAAAACAAAAAATAATTTTCCATTTAAATTGCTGAAACCGAATTCATTTCCACAACAGTATCATATAAAAAAATCTTAAAGTGCAAAAAAAAACACACAATTTTCTTGCGGTTTGTTCAAAAGATAAAGCTAAAGAAAATTAGGTAATTTATTTTGAGCCACGTGTTACTTGAAAAAAATTTTATGAAATTATGGGTGTGCTAGACCAGAAGTTAACTTTAGCCATGCTAGGCCGTTAAAACTAAAATGAAAGCATAACCTTAATATTCATACTTATTTGTATAGGAAGCATATGCACATTAGTTATACACGTACATACATTTTGATGTATACATATTTAGATGTACTGAAAATAAACAAAATTCATTTAGTCTTTCCGTTGCCAACTAAGTAAGAAGCAAATAACGTTGGTTTATACATAAGTAAAGTAGTATAGTTGTGCTATTGTGTGTGCATATGTACGACTATAAAGCCTGCGCCTTGCATATGTGTGTATGTATGTACATACCTTTGAAAATAGTTCGCTTCAATTTCGTTTACAGCCAAAATTACCGGAAACGTTAATTTGTGCACGTGGTTTCGCTATAAAAATGGGGGATATTTAGTGCAGCAATATGACTAACAAACTCATGCACATACTTATGTATGTATATATATATATACCTATGTTTCCACATTATTATATTATCTACACGTGCTACACTAGTATGTATTAGTTTGCTAGCCTATATATGAATCCAACCCACTTGCAGCTGTGTGTGGCCCCCATGTCTGAGCTAATAAACGGGCACGCAGTTCTAAAAGTGCTCGTATGAGTACGTAAAACGTGCAAGCGTAGCAAAAATATTCATGTCTGCATGCGTTCACTAGCATTTCTGATTATATGAGAGTATGTGCATGACTAAACGGCAGGAGAGTGAAAAAAAGTATATGGGTATTACAGGAAGCGTCAGCAGAGGCGTGTGTACAATTTTCGCAGGCATTCCCCAACTGAATAGTGCTAATTATTTCGACTAACGTTTTAGTTTTGTGTACGTCTCTGGAAAGTTATGTGAAACAACTTTGTATGTATATAATTAATTATGTGTCATGAAGGAAGTTATAGTACGAATTGCGGTAGCATTCGAGAATGAATATTCCATTACAAACTA